GTACATAGGCCGTTTAAGAAGATGTCTGGCTTTCCTGCAGCCTTCTCTCCTACCCAAATGGTAGGAATCCCCAGTGTTTTACAGCCAGATGTTGTGGGAGCGCTTCTTCACGGCACCAGTTCTCTGGGCTGGGGAGCCTGGTGTGAGGGGCTGGGGTCCCTCGCTCCTTCAGGGGGAACCTCCATGGCTGAGATATCCCTCCTGATCCTCAACCACCACATAGATGTGTGGGGTCTGTTCAATGCCTCTGTCCCTCCTACCAATCTCAATGTGGCTTCTTTATATTTTTAGTTTTAGGACTTCTGTTCAGCTAGACTACAGATGGTTCTCCAGGTTGAGTGTTCTATAATTTAGTTGTAATTTTAATGTGTTCATGGAAGGATGCAGGCAATTGTTTACACCACCATGTTGGAGCTCTCCTAGATGTTATTATTCTTAATACAGTGATTCTTGATCCCCACAGCCTCCATATGCCCCTCTCAGTATAGCAATAAAACTATTTTCATTAGCTATCTCATTGAAGAAAAAACAAAGGGTTTTTCATGATCCCTAGTCAGCATTTGAAGAATTTCAGGCTGTGGGAAGCAGAGTTTCAAGGCTTCCAGCTGAGTATTAAGCTGCAATTAGACTGTCAGTGTACTAAGGGGTTTGTCATGGTTTATCTTCAGGATAAAAACAGTTTCTGGTCTGTGACTGAGGTAAAACTTTTCTAATCTAGCTCCGGGATAAATCCCTGGAACTCATTCCATTCATAGTGCCATTTTTACTTGCACGGTCAGGGTTTTACAGAAACAAAAAGTAGGAATTATCCCCTTGTACTCCCCAGTGTAATAGCAGAAAACATGATAAATAGGGACAAAGATCATGGAAGCCCAGGGACCTAATGTTATCTGAGACTTTGAAAAGGGCTTTAGAATAGTCTGTATAGACTCTGGACAGAATTGTTCAGCTGATTAGAAAACAGTGCTTTTCAGTAGTTTTGAAACTCATTTCTTTACTTTTATTTTTCCTCATACTCTTCCTCACAACTTCTGGCTATTACTGGCTTGTCCAGTGTTTGGAGCCCCTCATTCCACATCTAAAGGGTTATTCTGATCCTTACAGCCCCAATTTTCCAATAAGATGCATTTCCTTATGTTCCATTCTCTGAAGAACATGCTAATATCCTGAAGCTGATATAAAAAACTAATTCATGAAAAGTACCAATGGTTTGCAAGCCGGTGGTATAACATAGTGAGATTTCAAATCAGAACACACTGGGTATTGCCTCTCAATGCTAACTAGCTGTGTGATCCTAAGCAAGTTAGTAAACAATTGACTCTTTGGTAAATAGGTGTCATTAAGGAGCCTATTCATGGGCTTGTTGCAAGTAATAAGTACAATTATGTGTGTTAAGTACCTGGCACAGAGCCCGTCTATACATTCGCTCAAAGCAGGGGATGAGAAGAAAATGAAATACAGTAAAACCTTGGATTGAGAGTAAGTTGGTTTTTGAGTGTTTTGCAAGACGAACAAACATTTCTATTAGGTTGGTACAGAAGTAATTGTGGTTTTTGCCATAATGGCAAAAACCGCAATTACTTCTGCACCAACTTAATAATACATTTTAACTTGGTAAACGAGTGATGTCTTGCAAAATGAGTGGTTTGTTTCCAGAATGAATTATGCTCACAAACTGAGGTATTACTGTACTGCCATTTGTGATAACATGGATGGATCTTGAGATTATCATGCTAAGAGAAATAAGTCAAACAGATAGAATTTGACTTGTATGTGGGATATAAAACTGAAAGCAACAAACAATCAAGCAAAAACTCAAGACACAGACAAAAGTTTAGTGGTTACAGGTGAGTAAATGGGGTCAAATCTATGGTGACAGAAGGATATTTGACTTCGGTTGGTGAACACACAATGAAATATATAGATGGTGTATTATAGGATTGTACACTTAGAACTTAAACAATTTTATTAACCAATGTCACCCCAATAAATTTAATTTAAAAAAATCAAATACTAAAATTCATTTATTTTTCTTGGTAGAAAGGGACTGGGGATTCACCAAAATGCATTAAGAATGCAGCCAGTACCTTACTCTACCAAACAAAAAATGATAACAAGTAGCTTTCCTTTTAACCTCTTTCAATGTAGACCAAGGAGGAAGAAGAGTTGCTGAGTGAGAATCCTACTTCTCTGGCTCCCAGCACTAAATCAAAGCACCAGCATGATTTCCCTCAGGCTCTTTGAGAGTTTAACTTTGTTACTCTAGGAACTTTCACAAAACTCCTTTGGAGCTACAGATGATGCAAGTGTGAGCATCTTTGTTTTTGTTTCAGATGAAAAACACAAAACAAAAAAACAGACCTAACCTTTAAATACTGATATAATAAAAGAAGTACATGTGATCTGGATTTTAGTCCTAATTTTGTCACGAACAGCCATAGTTTATTAAAGTCAATTTCTATCAATATATTCACTTCTCAAATATTCTCATCTATCACATGATTATCTTAAAACTACACAAGGCAGTTATAGGATTAAAATAAAGTGTAAATTGAAAGCATTTTGAAAAGGAAAATCACTCTACAATTATAGGAATAGTTATTTTCATCACAAACACCACAGCTAGAAGCCACATTTGCATATCAACACTTCATTATTGGAGACTTTGGTAGATGAACATTTTTAAAAAGATTATAATTTGAGTTTTCATGGTTCTTGCACTTTCTGTGACTATCTTGTTTACTTGCTTTTATCTAAAAGGAAAAGTCTGTCAAAACTGCAAAATTAATCAGCTTAATGTCTTTTTTGGTATTTGTTTCAGTGACATGTGTGATGCTTGTGATTCACATCACTGCTAATATGCAATTATTCAGGCTGAGATGGGGGTCCTGTTGAACATTTCTTTGTAACATGAAAACGGACACTGTTGAGCCTAGGAAAACAAAACCAGGGCCAGGAGGGTGAGGGGAAAGCAAATGCCAGCCAGTATTGGAATCATGGAAAATAATCATTCTGGAGAGAACCTGATTAACTTTTGCCTGAAGAAGTTGCCCTTATGTTTACAAATTCACTAGCTTCCTCAGTCACTTGCAGCTCTCTTGACTGGCATCTAATTAAAGGTTCATGTTTTCTAGGAATTCTGGGAAGTGCACTAAAGGTGGTCATGTGATCACTGATGGTACAATTCCATCTCAGGTTGCTCCCTCATGCTACTTCCCAGAAGTCCTAAAAACAAAACAGTAAAGCACCCCACACTTCACAGGAGTATCTGAAGTATTCACCACTAGGCCTATACCTCTCTTCTTTCTTTCTGTCAAGTATCTGAGAATAGATTCATATTTACCTGGTGAGAAAAGCTTGAAATTCTATCCCATAGTAATGCAACCATATTATACTAAACATTGCTTTGGAGAAAGAGGAACAATAAAGCAAGAAAGAACAGGTGCAGAGGAGACAAAAATATTATAGCTCCTAAAAAATAGTTAGCTGATACTTTAAGGTGCTTATATTTTCAAGTAATATATACAAAAAAATATCACAAAAATGCATTGCACTGCATCATAATGATATGTTTCTGTGTTAAGCATAAATGTATAAACACTGACTCCAGATGAGAACTTTTTACTTTAAGAAATTTAAAATGGATTAGATACAAAAACCCAAATATATAAAACATTTGACATAGGAGAAAACTAACTGCCTTAGTGAAGATTCTTACCTTAGCAAAATATTTTGTTAGCCAGCTACTTTAAGAAATCTAAAAATAAATCATTAACTGGAATAACATAAACTAGTCAAACCCAGTTCAAATGTAAGGTCAATGCAAATAAGAATGAAGCAACTCAAACTGTAATGAAGCCACTTAATTCAGAGAATTTGATTTACAAAAATTTGATTTGCATGCAACTTCTCAGTAATTTAACTTGGTACGAAGTGAGTCATGACAATGGAATTGTGAGATTACTTGTCTGGTTCCTGAACTTAGGTTTTTGTCTTTTAGTCTCTTCAGGAGACCTGAGGACAACCTAAGCATCATTATCCTGTAAACATCTCAGAGACCAGGCCTCATACTTTGCCCATCAGGCTCCAATCATGTCTGATCAGATGAGAATAAACTCTAATGAACTACATAAACTCTGGTAATGGATCACAGTCTATAATAGACATGGTCTCTGCATTATCAGTCTTGTTGAGAAATTGTGAGACTGCCTGAGGATCACAATAATAGAGCAGGGGCAGCTTGAACCAGTTTGATGGTATATAGGAGTCATTTCTTATTCAACCTGAGAAGTAGTGGCTTGTTCTGATTCTGGTAGGTGGGAAAGGTCCTGTTTTGATTGCCTATTGCTTCATGAAAAATTACTCCAAAACATGGTGGTTTAAACAATTCCATGCTATTTTTTCAGGATTGTGTGGGTCAGAAATCCAGAGAAGTCTCAGCCAGAAGATTTTTCTGTATCATGTGGATTGGCTAAACTACCTTATGAGGTCAGATGGCGGCTGGTGCTGTAACATGCAAAATGTCTTTGCCCACATGTGTGGCACCTTGATAGGGACAGCTATGAATGGATATTGCTTTGTACACATGGCTCTCTCAAAAGCTTAGTTTGGCCATGGCTGCTAGACCCAAACAGCAAGTGTTCCAGGTGGTAAAGGCAGAAACTGCTGAACTCTTAAGACTCAACCTCAGATGTTACATAGAGTTACTGCTCCACTCTACTACTCAAAACAAATCAGAAGACCAGCCTAGATCCAAGAGGGTGGGAGAAACAGACCCTGCTTCCTGATGGGGTGTGGTGACACTGCAAAGTAGCGTGTGGCATGGGATATACTGTGGCGGCTAACACAATCTACAACAGGACATCAAAGATTTCTTAGTCAAATCCTGTGCATCACTTCTTTCTCATAATTCTCAACATAAATCTTGGAAAGCAACCGTACTTGTTACTCTGTATCCTTGGAGGAAACGACAGACGCTAACAGATAAAATTGGCACTCACCTGGCGGAACTGTTCCAGGTCAATTTTGTTACCCACCAGCACCAGGGGGATTTCATAGGTGTGACGGACCTGAAAAATGAGCTCTTTAAACTTGGCAGCCTCCTGGAATGACTGGCGGTCAGTGACGGAGTAGCAAATGATGAATCCTTCCCCACCTCGCATGTACTGTTCCCTCATGGCTGTGAACTCTGCCTGCAGGAAAAGAGCAAAATTGTGATGCAATTTAAAACAGTTAAGCCAACACACATAACAGCAATAAAATAACAGGTCAAAAGCAGGCAAATGATGAGATTAAGAGTTTGGATAGAAATTTTCTAAAAGTATATTTGTGGGCTTTGTATACAGAAAAGCAATATGAGGTCAGAATGTACCATTATGAGCTGAATGTGTTAAACTGCTCAGTGTTAATCTTTAATCATAAAAGATTTAAGAGATCTTGGGGGATATATGTTAAATGGCAGTTTTACTAATGTTGGGGATTATATATATGGATTATAAACTTTTAATAGTTTTCTTCTTAATGACCTAATTTTAGGGAAATTAATCTAAATTTCTTTTCCACACATTAAAACCTAGAGGAATTAATTTTATCCTCAAAAATATGAAAACAAATTAGAGTTTAACTTTGATTATTCTTGTGAATGAAGGAAGTTGTTAGCATAGATAATCACAGGCCCAGTTATATGTTTGGGTCATCTTTGATTTGTCTCCCTAAGGAGTAAAAACAGGGATTTTGATTGCTGAATCATGGGTCCATTTCACCATTCTGTTGTTTCTTCTGTCCTCTCCTCGCTCAGCTGAAGAGGACTGAATCACATTCCACAATGCATTCATGTCCCAACCCGGGGGATATTTCTTATCAGTTTTTCATGTTGCATCCCACCTGAAGTACAATTTTCTGGCAATTGAAAATGCATTATTAGATCTGAATTGCAATCTGAAACATTTCTCTCAGCCTGAAATATCTGTTTTCACCCACTATTACTCTGAATCTACTGTTAAAATCACAAGGGCTAATTAGGTTCATGCAATGGGAAATATAAAACTTAGACTCTGGCTGTGGAATGAGACGTTAAACAATAAAAGAACAACACAAGAACATATTGTGATTTGGATGATTTGTGAGGTGAATGAAGAAAGATTAACATGAGCTTGAGCTGTATTTGAACTTTGAGGTGAAGATGTGAATTCTTCACCCAGCAAAGGGATTACAAGAACTACTAAAATGTCCTGCTCAGAGTAGCTGTCTAAACAAATGTTAATTTGATTTAGCATGGCTTGACTTTTGAAGGATATGAGCATTTACATAAATCCAGAAATTTTGGAAAGCTGGGGTACTTACAAGTCTAGAGAGAGTAATAAAGTTAATAAGGTCCTGAGTTAATGGGTGAATTTCTTAAATTGTTTTCAGTCAAAATGGAATGGGTACAGTTTCACTGGGTTCAACCAATAATTGCAAAGTTGTAAGAACTTGAGCCTGAGAGGAAAGGAGACTTGTTTAAGGATAGGCATCTGCTCCGAGTTGGTTTGAATATTCATGTTCTCTGACTCTCACAATATCAGCTTACTTAATATTAAATTTTACTTGAACTTAATCCTAAATTTTACCATGTGAGTGAAATGTACTAACATGGGAGAAACAAATCTGACTGGGTTTCAGTTTGTTCATCTCTAAAACAAGGTTGGGTTATAAAATGCCTGCAATCCCTTGTAGTTCTGACATTCTCTAATTTTGAAAACTCTGAGCCTCAATCAAAATCCCATAGCCGATATGGATAGACTAAAGAATTATGGACTGAAATTGCTCAATGAGGTTTCCCAAACTTATAATTACAGTTTTCAAGTAGAAATCATAGAATCATCATAGAAACATATGTAATATTTAAGAAAATATAAATGGATTTGTTCCATGTGTTGTATATGATTGAAACCATAATAAAAGCACAAACTAAACTGGAGAAGATTTATTTTACAACTTATTGTTCACTCTATTTGCCTATAATTTTAAGCATTAAAATTATTTATTTCTAATTATTAAAAAATAATATGCATTGCAAAATATTTAAGTGGTACAGAAATATATAAAATTTAGTTTTCTTCCCACCTCAAACTCCCAGCTTTCCTTCCAAAATATATTATAGTTAATAGTTTCTTTATCCTTACAGAAATAGTCTATGTGTACACAAGCATAGACATATATATTCCACCTTTACATACCTTTTTTACATTCAAATGGGAACATGATATATATAATTTTTACTTAAGACTTAATAGCTCTTAATGTACCTTAGGGACTATTCCATATAAACATTTATGTGTTGATTATCAGTTTTCATGAATGCATCATAATTTTTTTATGCATATACCATAATTTAACTAGTTGCCTATGAACAGGCTTTTAGATGTTTTCCTTTTATTTCTATTACAATGTTGCAATGTATATTCTTTAACATCAGTGTTTCACAGCTTTATGTATACTGGAGAGGTAGTATTGCCAGATCAAAGAGAATATACATTTTTGCTTTTGAAAAATAGTGCCAATCTCACCACCTAAGACATTGTACCCATAACTCTCCTTCCAACATTACATAAAAGTACCCATTTCTCACATTCTCACAAATGTCACTTATCAAATTTTTTCTAACTTGTATAAATTTCAGAGTAAGAAATAATACCTTGTTTCTTTCATCTGTATTTATGAGCATCTCCTATTTTTATAATCCGTTTACAGATTCTCTTCTAGATACAGATTTTATTTTGTTAAGAAGCAAAACAGCTTTTTAATTTTTGAGTTTTTAAAAAAATATGGACTGGAGAAGTTTTTTTTTCTATGTTAGACATAAGAAAAAAACAATAAATTTGACTACTTCAAAAACAAGTATGTCACAGAGAGAAGACTAATTAATTAGAAAAAACTCTAAAAACCTATTAGGAAGATAGGCAAGGTACATGAAGGTAAAATTCACAGAGAACAATACTGGATGAATGAATGAGTGAATAGCCAGCCATGCTGGTTAACTAGACTCAAAGTCACATATATGTCCTATTAAAAATAGATTTACTGGATCTGATCTGAAGCAGTCGCCAGGTATGAGGTTCTAGCATAAGTATTTTAAAAGCTTCCTTATTTGATTTTCCTTTGCACCTGGATATGGGATACATAAGCCTGTGTTTATGTTCAAAAGTGGCCTTTATGATCTAAGAGCACAAACTCAGGGAGACACAGTGCATGACTTCTAGGTTTGTTACCCACTTAGCGTGAGTTCTCTATTAAATCACATAACCCCTCCGTGCCTCAATTTCCTTTTTCGTCAAAAGAATTTGGACACATATTTAACCCTTTATACAGGGCTGAAGAAAGGATCAAAGGAGAGGACAGATGTGAAAATGCTTTGATGCATTTTTAAAATACAACGCAAGTTAATCCTACTATTATCTCTGGTACAAATCCTGCCAAATAGAACCTTTCTCTGGGAGCACAGGCATGAAATCCTTTTAGAGCTGCATTAGCTATAAATGTGAAAGTATTTCTCAAATATGCTTAATCAGAAATCATTACGTTTTTTCTTTTTTCAAATAGAAGATTCTTTCTACCAATAAAACAGATATAACTAAGTTATCCCAATGAACGGGGAGTATACCTCCTCTTAGCTAACCTGATCCATGCTAACTGTTTTCATAGCATCTATAGATATGTATCTTACTAAAAGATACACTGGAGGCTGGTGGGGCCCAGAAAATTGAGAAGAAACTTTTTAGCGATGTATCAACTTAATAATACATGATACTGAAATTGTTTTATTAAAAAAATGCTTTGTTCAACATCTTACTTCCATCTTCATTCACCCATGAATTAAAGATCCCTATGCTTTATGTGCAGTGCATCCTGCATGCTAATATCTTCCTCATCTGCTTCCTGCTATAAATGAAACTCATTGGTTAATTATTCAGGAACATTACTAGATACCATTTGCTCTCCATAAATAGCAAAATACCTATGAAACAGACCCATTGTGAAAAGGCTACAAAAATAAGCATTTCTAATATCTTCCAAGCTATTTTGAGTACTACACTGCAGCTTGATCAGTTCCTTTTGGTATGCTTCCTTTTATTAAACTAATGTGAGAATTCTAATTCTGAAAAGAAAGAATTTTTGATTCAGCACATATCGCAGTTTCTCGATTATCAGAGTAAGTTTTTTGAGCAGGTATTAGGAACCTTGGGGACTGAACCGTTCCCCAATGCATTGTTCCTACAATATATGAATGTCTCACTATTTACAAAATGCACTAGCATTACCCTAAGACCCACCATTCAACTGCATCTTATCTAGTACAATACACACATACCATTGTCTATACAGCTCTCCATACACATGATAAGCACATCCCCACACCAAATTTATCCTTCTAGTAAAAAAAAAAAAAAGTAAATAAAAAAATAAGTCAGTCATGCACCTAACACTATGCCAAGTGATAAGATACATTAAGAAGAAAAAGTATGACCCTGTCCTTGGAGAAACACAATGAGGCCACGATAAAACAAATGAAGAGCGATTGAGTGCTAAATGAGCCATGGGGGTTCAGAGAAGGGCAAGAGCAGTTTACAGGAGGAAAGCAAAGAGGGCTTAGGGAAAGAAATGAGATCTGATCTTTTTCCTTTAATTTATTATTTGCAAAGAGCTTCTGAACTTTCATGCAACCATACTTTCAAAGAGTATGTAATGTTACTCTTAAACAACCTTTTATGGTTCAAATTTAGCATTTGCATGGCAGTTAAACACCTGGGGTCTGCATCCCAGTCAGCAGTTGAGGGTTTGGCATCTGTTTAGAGAGGAGCAGTGTGCTTGCCCTTTGTTTTTGTTTGCATGGTTTTAAAGGAGGGAGGACAAAAAAATAAAAATATTATGAAAGTATAGGTATCATACATTTATTGTAATTGATGCAAAGGACAAAGATGGAACACAGTAGGAGTGGTGATTCTTCGGTCTCAATCTGATGCCTTAAGCTGGTTAAGAGTTTTCAATTGAAATAGAAATGAACAAAGCTTTTATAAACGTGGATACCATATGATCAAAGATTATCTCTGAATGGCAAAATATAATCATGGACTTTATATGATTTTTCAGTTTTCAGAAGGCATAACTATCTCCATCATTATACATTCGTTTGTCACCTGTCTTTCAATATTTG